CTCCCTGAGTGACACAGATATGGGCCAGATTAGACCAGATTAAAGGTAGAGAAAGGCAGGTTTATTAAGAGGCAGCTCTCACGGTCTCACAGGTGGAGGTCAGTGAAGTCGCACATGCCGCCTAAAGCAAGGGGGTGTATAGAGTTTAGGTGAGGAGTGATGACGTGTTTGGGTAGGAGCTGGGATCGTGTCCATACATGGTCAAAACTGAGCCCCTCGGTTGGCTCCCTTCGGTAGGCTGTGGGAAACGCAGAGACAAGAAGTGGTGACATGTTAGTTTGGAGAAGTTCTCTTCAAGTGGGCAGGGGAGGGTGGGTTTGGGAGAAGAAGGGTTAATCAGTTTTCAGCTTGTGCAGGGGTTCCAGCCTAACAAAGATCACTGAAGTGAGACACTACACTCCTGTCTTTGGGGGAAGAGGAAGGGCCAAGAAATGCAAGGCACACAGCCGGAGAAACTGGAAAGGGCCCAGATGCACCATCTTGCAGGGTCTCTCCTGAGATGTCTGACCTCACCAACACCTTGACATTGAATTCAAACTTGACTTTCCAGAGTGGTAGAAGAAAGGTGTGGCCTAGTTTACCATGTTCTCTTGCAGCCCTTATTGCATCTATCCCCACGGGTCTGAACTTCACCTGTATGCTAATAAATTCAGAATGGTTTCTCCAACCTTGGCTTCCATCGTAGGTCCATAGGTCCTGTTTGGCAGGGTCATTGCGACAGCTCCCTGCACAAAGCCATTCTTGTCCCTTCCATCAACTGTCCACAAAACTGCCTGCTGCTATGCTCCCCCAAACCTGATCAGGTTATTTCCTAGAGGAGGCCCATGCCCACCTCTCTAGCTTCCTGGGTTCTCCTCTGCTTCAGGAACTCCTGGGAGTTCTTGCCTCGCTCCAGCCTTTGCACATGCGCCTCCCCTTTCCCTTTAGTCTGTTCTCTTTGCCCTCTCTGCATCCCACACCTCTCTCTTAGGTTTTCTGCTTTTCCAATGTGATGCTCACTTCCGCTATGTCCCATGTCCAGTGCTCTCCTTTGTAGCACTAATCATGGCATGTGATCCTTTCACCTGTTAGCTTGAGTTTTGTCTCTATCTTGGCTGGCGTGAAGGTTCCCTGGAGTGAGAACTTCTGACCTGTACTGCTTGCTGCTGCACCCACAGAGCCGACGGTCATGCAGTGCACAGCAGTTGCTCAGCAAATATTACACCAGTGAGTACTGAATATGCACACAGCACAGGCAGTTTGGCAAGCTTGACTATTTGGACTTTGGCTGTTCTCATTGCTAAAGAACTTGTAATCAAATGCTAAGCGTGTCAAGCAAGCAAAACAGAGTTTTGGGAGGCTGACTGTAAGGGCACACCCCACCAGAGGACACTCTGTAGCCTGGAAGAGATCAGGGCAGGGAAGACTTGATGTCCCCAATGCTCCTTATAATTATCAGATGGCAATGTCATCAAAAATCAAAGGACATGACATATGTGCCCCCCACACATGCACAAATGTTTCCGTAGTGGTTCGCTGTTGAAACCGATGCACAATTCTATGGCAAGATGAGACTAGGAGAACTTGGATAGAGGAGTGTGGGTACATGGGAGCTCTGAATCACTTCCCCACTTTTTCTGAAAATCTGAAAATAAACTAAAATCAAATTGAAATCTGGAGTTGGGGAGATGGCTCAATTGGCAAAGCAATTGCCACCCAAATATGAGGGCCTCTGTGCATATCCCCAAGCAGCAATGGAAGGAGCCAGGTGTGGTGGCATGTGGCCATACCGGCAGTGCTGGGGAGGCAGAGGTAAGAGGAACCTGCCACTCAGTGGCCAGCTTGTCTTGCTGACTACACTGATGAGCTCCAGTTTCAGAGAGCAAGAGACCTCATCCCAAAAACCAAATCAAATCAAATCAAATCAAATCAAAATCAGCTGGGAGTGATAGAGGGCCGTCCCTAACATAGACCTCTGCTTTCCACATGGAGACAAACTTTACACTAAAACCTAAGGTCTACTTTGAAAAATAAGATAAAATAAAATAAAATAAAATAAAATAAAATAAAAAATACAACATTGGCCATGCTTTCATTTGACTTGTTAGAGTCCTGAGATTATTAATGCCAAGGGTGTACAATTCAGGAGAGGTAGTTTAAAAAAAAACAGCACCCCTTATTTGGATGGTCTTCTGTAGCACAGGCTGTCTGGAATTCAGTGTGTAGTCATGGATGACCCGGAACTCTGCCCCTCCGGTCTTTCTCTCTCAAGTGCTGGGACGGCAAGCATGTGCCACTACGCTCCTCTGGTATCCCATTGGATTTTAAGGGCAATCTGAGGGGAACCTATTGGACTATCCTTATTTGGGTGACAGACCAAGGCTTAAGAATCTTTAGTGAAACATCCCTGGTCACACAGCAAGTAAGAAACAAACCTAGGCACTAGGCTCATTGATTTCACCTTCTGGTTTCTCCCAGGAATGTTGGTCCAGGCCAGAGATTATTATTATTTTTGTCTGATTTTTTTGGAGTAAGAAAAATGGTTCTGACAAGCCGAGCGCTAGCACTGTCCTCAGCACTTCCCCCTCTTCCCAGCACACACAGAAGCCACCCCTGTTCCTTCCCACTGCTTGACTATTCCAAAAGATGTGGGACACAAATCCTCATTCCAATAGCAACTCCCTAAATGTGAACCCCCCTCCTGGGAACTACAATATCAGCCTGGGAATAGATAAACATATACAGCTTTCAGCCTCGCCAAAGCTGGCACCCACTCTGATGGATGGCCAGGCACTCTCCAACATAGGTGGCTTATGGCCTTGGGAAACCAAAACTCACACATCCTTAGAGAGAACTCAAGCCAATTAAGCGTTCCCAGGCAGCTGTGACTGGTTTGTAAAAACATTTAACTCTGATGGCACCATAAAAGCCAAAAGAACACCCTCCCCAATCACGCGACCCTGTCCGCTGACCCTGTCTACCGCCCAAACAGGTGAAATTATAGCTTTCCTTATCCGCCATGTAACCCTGAAGCCCCCAACCTGCTTGTATAAATTCCCTAAACCCCTAGACGCTGGACAGCAACTTTGCTCCGTGCAGTTTGCGATCCAAACCTGGGTTTGAATTAAAGGCTCTTGTCTTTCTCTACATTGGATATGGCAATTCTTGGAGACCTCTTGAAGACCCTGAGACCTGGGCATGACAGTTCCCTCAGCTTCGTGCCCTGGGGTACCATTTTTTTCTACCATTGGTCTCAGGCTTTCTTTCCATCTCATGCACACCTTGGGAGCCTCGCCATCTCAGCTCTCCTCCCAATCCCCTCCACACACCGCTGAAGAGCAAGTACTTTAAAGCATAACTCTCAAGAGCACTTCCCTCCACCACTCCCTACTGTCCACTGATAGAAGTTCAGACTATGCTCCGGGCCCCACCTTCCATCTTTGACCCCATACCAGTGCCAGGTATCTCTTCTTCCCAGTTCCCAACAGCTTCTCTTTGTTGTCTCTTAAGTTCATCAATCTTTGATTGATGTCTTAATGAACGCACAAAACCGCCAGGGTAGGAGAAGTTTATAAAACTGACAAGACCCAACCGAGAACCTCGGAAGTTCATATGTGATTACTGAGCAGATATGCAACCCACTCTCACTGGCCCAGAGTGAGCTGGGCGTTAGAGAGTCAGGGGCATCAACAGAGTACCTGAGTCATCCCAACTAGGGGAGGGGTCATGAGAGGCTTCCCAAAGAGGCCATTTCTCCTCTTGGATGAGTTGATCTTGGCAGAAAGAGAAGGGAAACTGTGTGTGTGACTTACTGGTTCCTAGAAAACAAACACTCAGCATAGTTCTGCCTGCCCCAAGCAGATTCATCCTCCCAGGCCACAAGACTCTGCTCCATCCCAATTCCATGCCACACAACTTCTGAGGAATAGACAGGAGTGGGAACAGGGCCATTTAAAAATCACTCAAGATGAAAGAGACTCATTTATCAACAGTTTGAGTAAAATTAATGAAAACACTTCATAGCTATTTGGAGAATGGTTTGGAGGGCCTGGAGGATGCCTTCCTGTAAGCAGTTAAGTGATGGTGGGGTAAATTGAGTGCTGGTTGCTGGCTGTGCAGGTGGAAAGCTGTCAAGTCTGCCATATTTAGAAAAGAGAAGCACATCAGTTCAGAATTGGTTGGTGCAGCTGTTAAGAGTGATGGAAACTCTAAAACTGGAGTACCGGGCTTCTACCTTGGGTGCCAGAGCCAACAGCTATGGTTTAGGAAACGTAGAAGACAGTAGTTGAGGTTTGAAATAAGGGCTGAGCGTGGGCTTTGTCAGAGCAAGGCTGTGAAGGTCTCTGATGGTCTTTAGAGGACTAGTCCAGTAGACAGGTAAGTGGGCCTTGGAGTTACTGCTTTAGACCCCGCTGATGTACACAGGCCAGAGAAGGCAACTATGCTTGGCACCTTCACCTTCCAAGGCTGTTTGTAGTGAGGTATTCAGAAGGAGCTCATGGTAGTTCACCAACACCACACAGGCACCAGTTGGTAAGCCTCGGGGACTCTGGCTACTGCTTTGGACAGGAACATAGAGGAAAGAGCAAAGGTTGGGGCAAGGGACCAGTTACACACTGCTCTCCCCCTACAGAACTCTGGAAAGGCACAGGCCCCCTCTACAACAGACAAGATTACTTTGACCTTTTTCTGCCACCCGCTCTTAAATGGTTGTTTGTTTGTTTGTTTGTTTTTAAATAGAACTCAGATTGCACACAGTGGTGGGCGAGGCTTAGAAAGGGGTTAGCTCGTGCTCAGGGGAGGGGGCTGTCAGGAGAAAGAAGTGCAAAACCACAAAAAAACAAAGACTTTTTTTTTTTTTTAATCCTATGTGTGAAGAGCACAGGGATGGGAGGGGCGAGACCATCCTCAGGGAGACAGGGTGGGGTTATCCTTAACCAGTCCGGGTTCCAGGGTCGCAGTGCAGCCGCGCCCACCCCGCTCGCGTCAGCGCGCTTCCGGAAACTGCTCGCCCCTGGAAACCCGGTTTCCCCCCCCCGCGTAGGTTCCGGAAGAGCTCGGTTCCCGTAGCCGAGCGCGCAGGGCGGGCGCGAGCTACTGTAGCAGCGAAGAGCTTTGTTCCGGGCGCGTTGTTGCTCCTGCGCGCTCAGAGGGGCCAGAGTCCTAGTGTCGCGCGCGCCGGGGACCCGCGGGGGCTGAGCACGGCTGTGATCGCTGCCGCCGGAGCTCCGGGGCTCGTGCGCTCTGCGTTACTTGGGGAGGTCCCAGGCAGCTGCAGCTCCCGTGCGGTCCCTGCCGGGTAGACGCAGCGACTGCCAAGGCGGTGCAATGCTGGGCCCGCCCGGGAGCCCGGGAAGGGAAAGCGGAAGCCGCGCGCCCGGTCGGTGACCGCGCGGACTCGGCGTCTCGCCTCGGCTGCTCTCAGCACCCGCGCCTGCCCTCGGCTGCTGGTCGGGCGGCACCCGGCGCGTCTTGACCATGGCCATCGCCCACCTGGCCACGGAGTACGTGTTCTCCGACTTCTTGCTGAAGGAGCCCACCGAGCCCAAGTTCAAGGGGCTGCGGCTGGAGCTGGCAGTGGACAAGATGGTCACGTGCATTGCCGTGGGTCTACCTCTGCTGCTCATCTCGCTGGCCTTCGCTCAGGAGATCTCCATCGGTGAGGCCGGGGCGCAGGGCAGTCTGGGCTAGGCTGGCATTGTCTGGGGTTGGTTGCTGAGAGATCTCGTCGCACACGGTCGGCATTTCCGCACGCCCCTCCTAATGTAGCCACCCTGATGGTACGGGATTTTGAGTCTGAAGCCTTATTTGCCCCGTATGTAACCTGGGTACCTATTTTGACTCTCCTAGCATGCCCCTTCCAGTTCCTTTGTCTCTTGTGCCCCATTATTGCAGCTTGGAGTTTACGTTCAGCCTGTTGCCGCTAGATGTGCCAAGAAACTGCACTCCCTACTCTTCTCTCCGGTAATTGTACAGTCACCCATAATTTCCTGAGTGGTTCCAGGGAGGATGTAAAGACAAGCGTTCTGTGTACAGGGTGCTGTTTCACTGTCTTGCGTTTAAATGAAACTTGAGTTCTGTCTTAGGGTTATGTGTGCTGGGGAGTAACCGCCTCTAGAAGCAGGAGAGGTCCTCAACCTAAGCTTTACAATGAATGAAAGATGAAGAAATGATCCAGTCCCCTTTAGATAAGCCCTCATTTCGTCTTAATAATGATGTGCAGTGTCTAGTGATGTGTGCAAGATCATGAGGCAGAGGGAGTGGTCTTCTTTATCCTAACTTTCATAACCTGAATGAGGGTGGGAATTGTGGCCAAGTAGTCTAGGAGGGCCAACAGCGTTTGCAGGTGGGGCAGGACCTCGAACAACACCTGTGTCAGGTGTGGGTGACCCCAGATGAGACTGTTGACAAGATTTTGAGATGACATTTCCATGTTCCCAGAAAGAAAGCTCAAAAGCACCGTGTCAGCCAAGAGTAGAGGGCTTTCTCTGGGAAGCTGAGGATATATGGGCCTGGGTCAGATTAGTAAAGAAAGGTACATGCTCACTCACTTGAGATTGGGAAGCTGTTGAGCTGTTGACTGACTGACAGACTGACAGCAGCATTCAGTGACTAATAGTGAGGGCACATAGCTTCTGCATGTAGGAGGGGAGAGGTGGACCTGGGTGAGTGAAAGCCCGGCACAGGGTCGTTCAGTTGACAGGTCTTGTGCGTGGATGAGGGGTGAGCGGAGGAAGGAAGATGAGGGATCCTTCTGGGAGATGAGGGGGCAGCAGGAAGCTGCTTGGCACCTGGATTTTAACAGGCTGTGGAGAGAAGAGAGTACTCCCTCCCACACGAGCAGGCTGGTGGGGCCTGGAGTTGAGGTAAGCTTGGTTAGGAAAGGGCATGGCGATAGTAGTCTGTGCCATGTATGGTTGAGTTGGTCAGGGATGCAGAAAGTTGCTGAAGTAACTTTCCTGCTTCTTGAGCAGGGATCGTCCTGCTGAAAGGAAAACCACAGAGTCGTTTGGGTCCCGATGATAGTGTCTGCCTTCTAACTGTGGGCTGACCCAGGTGCCAGGCATCAAGACCACAAAAATAAGTGTCCCTGTGCTGAAGAAGCAAGTCTTGGACACCTGGTGGGGCAGAGGGCCACCAGCGAAGAGCTGATCACTGTCTGTGAAGTCCTCAGCTAGACGGGCTCCTGGGGCACCTGATGTGCAGGTCCAGATGGATGTGCTGTGCGGGAGGCATCTTGGGGTGAGGCAGGGAAAGTGGGTTCAGCCAGCAAGGCTCTGCTTCTGCTGTGTGCGAGCCTTCCTGTGCACTGTGGGGAATAGGAAGAATTCTGAGGAATGGTCCTCTCTCTACCTGTGAGACTTTATCATGCAGATAGATACTGTCTGCTAACTGGTGACTTCCTGCTGCCTGTGTGATTCCGGGATGAGGCAGCTGTGGGAACCCTGAGCACCAGGCTGACTGGCTCTTAGGTGAACTCTGTCTTCTGAAGGGCTCAAGAGTTTCAAGGGGAAGATGGGTGTGTGGGATGAAGGTAGCAGAAGTCCTAGGAAGTCACTCACTGCTCATGGTCAGTGATTGATTTTTGTGAAGTTTAATTGTGTGACATTGAGGGCAAAATAAACTGAGAGAGAGAGAGAGAGGGAGGGAGGGGAAAAGAGAGAGAGAGAAAGAAAGAGAAAGAGAGAAAGAGAATGGATATGAATATAACTTCAGGGTACTGGCCAGTTTTATGAAAACTTGAAGAAGGAACCTCAACCGAAAAAATGCCCTGAGCACATTGATAATAGGTGTAGGAGGACCCAGGTCTCTGGACAGTGCTACCTCTGGCTAGGTAGTCCTGGGGTGTATGAGAAAGCAGGCTGAGAAAGCCATGAGGAGCAAGCCAGTAAGCAGCACTTCTCTATGGCCTCTGCATCAGCTCCCGCTCCCAGGTTCCTACCCTGATTTTCTGCCTTGACTTCCTTCAGTGAGAGCTGTTGCCTGAAATAACCTCTGTCTTTCCCAACTTGCTTTTGGTCATGGTGTTTATTACAGAAACCTTAAGTAAGACAACCAGAGGTAGTGGAGCCATTTAAATGAAGCAAGCAGTGTGGCCACTGCAGTGCCAGGGAGGACAGCCCTGGAGTGTGGGTGGGGCAAGATCGGACAGCTCCAAGCATGGCCCGTGAGCCTTCCCTCTCTGCTGTCTGGGATACTCTCTTACTTAGCCTGTCCATGTCTGTCTGTACTGCTAGGTGCTTAGCCTTTTGTTGTACATTCCTGTTGCACAGTACATCAAAGCCAGTTTTTCAAACATTTTTGCTTTTGTTTTTGTTTTGAGTGAGTGAAAGGTGATTGATCCACTTGGGTACGCTCAAGTGTTTCCTGAGCCCGGGGTGCAGCCTGTCGGTGCTTGGCAGCAGAGTGTAGAAACACGCGGGATTTAGAGTCCGCCTTTCAGGTATGGCCCAGCAGAGCAGTTGGATATGGAACACCCTTAAGACAGTATTTTATTAGACAGACTCTGAGCGGTGCCAGGTTGTGCATCAGAGGCTGGGGTGAGGCAGGAGGGGTCCCACCACTTGCAGGAGCAGTGAGGGGTTCAGGGCACAGTTGACTGAGCTTTGAAAAAAAAGATTTCCAGTGTATGAGGCAGGGGGAGTTGGAGTTGAGGGGCAGGAGACTTCTGTCGCTGCCAGAGCTCAGCAGCACCACTGATGGGGCTGACCGTCTGTGTGGAGGTAGGCGGGGCCGCTCTCTGTGCTTCACAGTCTGCGTGGGGGATGGATATAAAATTAAAACTTTTAAATTTAATTACAATTAGAACTTGTTCATCGCTGCCCGTATCACCTTTACTGATAAAGAGGGTCTCTGAAAGCCTTGTTCACCACTCTGTGTTGTCACTAACCCCTGCGCCCCCCTGAAGCAGCTCACACTGGCACAGGATGGGGGTGCTGTCTGGGCTGCTGAAGTCCACAGTGGGAGCAGCACTGTCCACTCTCTGGGCCTTGCTCTACCTATGACTTGACGGTTCTCTCAGGAGTGATGCAGGCTAGAGAAGCTGAGAGAGCGTGCCGAGGTCAAGGTGGTTTGGGTAGCCTTTGCAGACAGACCCCTGGGTCTGGGGCTGCTCATTGGTCTTAACTGATTCTACATTGGCGACCTGTACAGATGCAAACCCTCTGGAAGGAGCTGCTCTGAACTTCCAAGGCCTTGCTCACAGCTTGAAGACTCTAGTCATCGAACTACAACTTGTTGGACTGAATATAAGAACTCAGAACTCACTTGGGCAACTGCTGTGGTTAGTTCTGAGACTTCTTTCCCGCTGTGCAGAAGACAGGTGAAATGTAATCGTGCCACTGGGGTGGAGAGGAGAGTTCGTGCCAAATGCTTCTCCATCCCTCCATCCCTTGCCGTTCTTCATCTGGCATCCAGGCTTCTGTGCAGTGTGTGCTGGGCATATTTTAGTAAGGACCTTGGGTTTTTGCTCTGCCCTCTCTCCACTCAGCTCTGATTTTCAGAGATGTAGCCAGTAGCTGCTACTGTTGTGGAGATGCCTATTGCTATACCTTCCCTATCTGGAGGGAACTAACTGAGTCCCCTACCCCCCCGCCCCCCGGCCGGCCCCGAAAAAAAAAATAAACCTTGCTACAAATAACTGACACCGCATGTATAAGCATAGACTAATATTTAGCTTCCCCGTAACAGCATACCCTCTAGTCACACTCAGAATCAAAGGGCCAAGTATGGAGGTCCAGAGAGACCCTCTTACACAGGTATTTGACCTTGTCAGTGTTTTTAAAGTATAAGCAATAAACTCAGACCTCTGTGACTTGTGCATAGCTGACCTTAGTGGATAGCTTGCCCTCTTCTCTCTCTGCATCCACACGTGTATGTTATGTTAGAACATTTTGATTCTTTTTGTATCATAACACATGTCACCTCACTGGGTTTTTAAATTATTGTTGTTTTGTGGCCGTTTATTTTCCATGTCTGTGTATCTGTGTGTGTGGGTGCATGCGTGCCACATATGCATGTGTGTTGATAGGAGAATAGCTTGCAAAGAGATAGCTTCCTTCATGTGGGTCTGGGTCCTAGGGCACAAACTTCAGTCATCAGTTTTGGGGAGCCAGTGTCTTTACTACTGAACCATTACAACTGGCTTCTTAATGGCAGAATAACAAACACCTTATAGCTTTAGTGTAGTCTAACTGTAAGTCAGCTGAGCAGTCCCCCATGACAGACACTATGGCACGGACATTTTGCTTGTCATAATCTCTGCAAATGTCCCCTTTCTTCCTGCACTGGAGGCGGGGTGGGGAAGATGAGAACAGTATCAGTTTCCAGAAAGATGAACTCATTTCTCAGAATGACTTTGCACTCCTAAGTTTGTATTTCAGCCAAGTATAAGGAAGGATGCCCTGGGGCCTGCCTAGACTTGATTCCTGCAAATTCCACTCTCGGGTTTGGAAGGTTTATCATGTTGATGTGTTTTTCTGTGTTTGTACTCTGACCTCCCTATGAGTGTGGAAGCACAAGCGCCCCTCACACACACTCTTAGATAAATCATTAAAAAAAGAAGTCTGTTGCATGCCTTTAATCCCATCTCCATGAATTTGAGGCCAGCCTGCTCTATAGAGCCTGGCTTCAGGACAGCCAAGGCTACAGAGAAACCCT